ACGCTGTGATGTTCTCAATATAGGTGAAGGTACCTGCTGGGCCTCAGTTTGGTTTCAATAGGCTTTTCATTTTCTTTTTTTTATTGAAAACAAGTTTCCGGATGCGGCCGCCATACAATACAGAATGGAAGAGGTCAGATGGTAGTGGTGGAATTTTAACACGTCCTCCGTTACCACCCGGCCACAACTGCCCGATCTGATCAGATGCTGAAAAGAGATAGTGGTTCAATCTGTGCGCAGTTTCAGTTTTTCAGTTTGCACAACCATTAACCATGAGCTAACGTGCGCCGGTTTTGGTTGCTATCTTTTGGCTGCCCATTTGGATGAACATTAGGAGAATGACAGCAAAGGTTGAAAGTAGGATCGAAGAGAAAATCAGAAAGTTCAGTGGACTAATGATACAGAGCAATTAAGATGCACGAACACCACACACAGGTCGAGGAAGATGGAAATGGTGGATCTACGAAAGGAATGTCGGTGCTCCAGAGGGAGCAGATAGCTTGAAGTTGTATAACTTTTCTCGATACTTCCCTCATGTTTGCCACTCAAACGGTTCCTATATCAGTCTGAGCTAAAGCAATAGCCTGCTGGTCTCGGGAAAGACGAGAGTAAAACAAACTGCTGGATGGTTACGTGAGTCTCGTTGGATCATCGGGTTCCCGGATCGGAGTTTTCCACTATGTTCATCCTTGCTCCATAGTCTTCATCAAGCTGGTCTGCTATATTATATACAATAAGGTACTCCGTTTTATACGAATTACGAAGATCTGGGGGACCCTGAGATGATAATCATTGATGATTAGAGACACTGTGTGATCTGGCTGTGTCGCAAACAGTGGCGCTCGTACATCCGCTCATTATTCTCCTAACACCACTATGAATTCTCCATCTTCCGCTTGATTTTGCTTTCAGCATTTCAATGTTCATTCTGCTCTTTCATCCAAATGGGGCACCTAAAGACAGCAACCAAAGCCGGCGCACGAAAGTGCATGGTTAATGGTTTCAAAAACTGAATTAAACTGAACAAAGATCGAGCGGCTCACTGAAGTTCGCTGGTATGCAGAATTATCTTTTTGTAGATGGCTTATGATCATGGTTCGCTGTTTTATCGACGTTAAGCGAAATGGTGGCTTGAATTGTACATGCGATGGAGAGGTATCTGAATAAATGCAAGGAGGCGTTGGAATGACTATTTCGGGTGGTGGTGGCGCGGTGGTTTAGTTGCTGTCACCGGCGCGCTCTGGACCCTGTGTTCCGAGGTTCGAGCACCGTCACCCAACTTTGGTGGTGGACAGCCTCTCTGTCGCCCGGTTCTATACCACACCTGAGCTAGCAGGGCCTTATGTGGTTCGTAACTCAAGGCCCCGCCGCTTAGGTTGTCGGGTATCATCACTGAACAGCAGGTCTTCGTGACTATGGGGTTCCACCCCGTCTGCTGTCCAACATACATAGGTGTAAAAAAATCGATTAAGTTAATGCTTTATACATAAATGATACTTCTCCGTTGCTTACGTTTTCAGTTTGTACAACCAACATGCACTTTGGTGCGCTGGTTTTGGTTGCTGTCTTTTGGCTGCCCATTTGGGCGAACAGTAGGAGAAAAACATCAAGGCTGAAGGTGGAGTCGGAGAGAAAATTGAGAACACCAGTAAACTATGGCCGCAAATAAGTTGGTAAGGTGTACAAATGCCACTGTTTACGGCNTTTACGGCACCCAGCCGTATCACTCAGTATCTAACCACTGTCTTCAACTGGCAGAGGTGTTTCCCACCAAAGTGAGAGAACGAAAAGCCGACATCCGGGCTATAACCGGGTTGGTAGACCGTTGTTAGTTCACCTGTGGGAAGTGCCCTAAAAACCGTGATTCTAAACCAATCATGAGGAGGCGTACGAACCACACCTTCCTGGTTGTGGCAGTGGTCACCCACTCGATTTGGCATCGGGTTGTATTGGACGCCTTGGACGTTTGACCCCGTCCGAAGGGCGTGTAATCCGATGACCTTGACACCGGCCCCCAATAGATTACGGTCTCCCCACACCACCCCGCTGCCTTGCGGCTCCGGTTTTGGATTCCTCAAGAAAATTCACCTGCGTTGGCCTGGGCATCCTGGAAGGATTCCTCCCACATGCAACTCATGGAACGTTTTTCTTTTCCATAAAGATTATTGTATCATGATTTGTTTGGCGCATTCTATATTCGGACGTGTGTTTAAATAAAATACAAATACTCTAACCATCGGTTACGATCATCCCGAGGTCCCCATACAGGGAGCCTAACAGGACCTATGTGACCCAGTGGCCTCGTTAGGGTTTTCATACCCTCGTGCCAGGTCTTAGCTTGACCACCCTTGTCATTTATTCCATCCACTACATGCCTCGGCGAATATCACTCGCTGTGGCAACCTATTTGGTGACCTGCGTAACCCGCCCCATCCAACGTACTCTATTGAGATCAACCACTTGCTCCCATGGGCGACCGTGGTTTCCTAAAATTCTACGCCCAACCTCAGCATTTCTCGTCCGGCTGCCCTACCAGATTCGTGCAATGCTGCGTGGACAGCAGTGTTTCTGCACCGTACAGGAGAACTGGCCGAACTGCCGTGTTGTACACCCGACCCTTCACAGACAGCCGGATGTCGCAAGTTGGCAAATGCCAACTGAGCCTTCTAAATGCGAGCAGACACTTGAACCGTGATGCGTCCTCCGGGTGAGATGTAGCTGACCAAGTAGTAAACTTGTCTACTTTCTCTACAACTTCCCCAGTCAGGGTGAAGTTGGGGACAGGGCCAACCCACTCTTGTAGTAGCATTTTACACTTTGAAGGTGCAAAGCGCACAGCAAACATAACTACAACTAATTCGATGCCACTATCCTCGCACCGGGATAGACTTATTGCAAGAATGAAATCTATGATGAAGTTAAGTAAAAATGAAGAACACTTTCCGTGGTGAATTCGGGCGAAAGTGTGCAGGAAGCCCAGGTTATAATTGATTATTTTTCAGATATTCACAATGACAGCTTAAGCCAATCGGAACCTCATTCGCAACGTCGGAGTAAACAACGATCCCCACGGAGCGGATGCCCAGCCAAACCATATATTTTGAACACCATCCCCAATACATACCGCCCCCCATTCGAGCCAACAACCTACACGTCCACAGTGTGCTGGAGTTTATCAAGACACACCACTACCATACTGAGACATCTGACACGAAAGTTGAAGATATGACATAACACCGGGCGCCAGTCGGGCTCCCTATTGTCAACTTTGGAGCGGTTTAAATAGTTCATCGTCCCAGATTCGTTTTATCCCCAACCTACATGTATCAGAAAGATGTAAAAAAAACTGCCAAACTGAGGTCAACCACTGTGTATATCCCGAAATAAAATTCCGAAGTCTTATTGGGGTTTACTGCGGTAAAAGTTTGTTCATTTTTCCGCTTTTCCCTGATGCACTTAGTCACTGTAATTATGTAGTAAAAATCCGTCTAACAGGTAGAGGTTTCGAAGCTTTTCCGTGAAACAGAAAATGGTTGCTTACGCTCTGAGTGAATGCATTCATTATCCATTGTTTGTTTTCTTCCCCCTTTCTTTTGTGATGGCACTGATTCCGTTGTTATCTCAAATAAGATCAAAACTTGCAAATCAGAAAACTTTTTTCAGTTATCGTTTGATGTCTCTGAGTGAAGTCGCTGCCCTTACTTTCACCTCCAATCTGTTTTTTCTTTCCAAGGGTGCCGGTGTTAGTAGCTCTAAAATTGTCCGTGGAATGGTGTTTCGACGGGAGACAGAGGGCGAAGTCAAAGAAGCAAAGGATTGCAAAATTGCAATCTTCTCTTGTCCCATCGACACCTTACAGACCGAAACAAAGGGAACGGTATTGTTGACTACTGCTGACGAGTTGACACAATTCAGCAAGGGCGAGGAAAATTTGATGGAGAAGGTAAACTTGAAAAATTATCTAAAATTGTCCGTACGTTACTTCACTTGGCGTTGTCACAATTGAGCTTAGTGGACGTGGTGTCGTCGGTTGCGTCATGTATCCGAGGTTAGATTCAAAGAGTATTAGAGTAATTGTGATGTGGAGTTTTGAGTACACCTTAGTTTTTCTGAATTTCATCATTGTGCTCAAACATTTCATTATCATATTTCAGCTTTTGTTCAGCCTTTGTTCTCCTAAGTAATCAAAGCGCAGGGAACCAAAGTTGAAACACTGATGCATTTATGTCATTCCCGCAGAAAGGAAAAATCACTTATTATTTCTCAGTTGCATATTTCATTTATATCCTACTAACTCCAGTCAATTATCTATGTGCATTTCCAGCATATGCGAGCCATTGCGGACGCCGGCGTTCGTGTCGTCGTCAGTGGAGGTAAAGTGGGTGAACTAGCGTTGCATTATGCCAACAAGTTGGGTCTAATGGTGGTTCGATTAAGTAGCAAGTTCGATATCCGTCGACTTTGCCAAGCCACTGGGGCCGTTGCTTTACCGCGTTTAACTACACCCTCTCCTGAAGAATTGGGTCACGTGGCACACGTACGCACTGATGAAGTCGCGGATGCAAGCGTAGTCATTTTTGAACAAGGTTAGTTTTCGGTCATTGAGTGCCGTACCGCTAATGTTCTCAGTACTAACTTACTTTTCTCCCTTCCGTGTGTTATGCCCACTTATGTTTTTGTTAAAGTTTCAACTCTAGTTGCAGGCTATCGCCGAATTCTACTGGTATACACTAGTGTCATTTGCATAGGATGGTGGTCTCCTCGACCGTGTATCGAATGATAAACTCGGATCATGATTACTTCAACACGTGACATAACATCTATGCAAAGTTTGGTCAAGTGTCACGAGTAATTATATAGTTGTGCTGACCAGAAGAGTTATCGAAAGTAGTTCATTTTACTTATCACGATCTGTACCCAATAATACAGGCGTTTTGGATTGCCTCTCAAGTTTAGTTCGGGCTTGTATCGGTGATTAGTGACAAATTTATTCTGAACGCTTTTCTTTACTGCCATGCAAAACGAAAGATGACAAGTACGTGTCTTTTCTTCGATTTTCGTGATCTTTATCAAAGGGCGTGTGATCCGATGAACTGGACACCAGCCCTCACTGGATTGTGGTTTTCGCTCACTGTCCCACTGCCTTGCGAATCAGCTAGCCGAAGGTTCCGGTTTTGGATTCCTCAAGAAAATTCACCTTCGTTGGCCCGGATAACCTGCAGTATTCCACCCACAAACAAATCATGGAACGTTTTTCTTTTTATAAAGGTCACTATACCGTGAATTGTTTAGCAGTCTCTCCTCGCACGCGTGTGTAATATAATAATAATTTCTGCATTAACAGTCAAACGTCCTAAAATCCAGCGTTTAATAAATCACTTCTTATTGTGGTTACGAATGCGCATATTTAGAATACAATGCGTCAACTGTGAAACTTACAGAGGACATTCTAAACTTATGCTTTGGCTTGATCATGAACCCAAACTTGTCGGAACTCAATGCTTTTCTGAAATATCACATGCTATTACAGATGCACACGAAGGCTCTGTTGTCACTATATTAGTGCGCGGAAGCACAGAAAACATAATGGATGACGTCGAGCGTGCTATCGACGACGGAGTCAACACATTCAAATGTCTGACTCGTAGTCCCAAACTGGTCGCTGGAGCCGGTGCAACGGAAATCGAGTTGGCCCGTCGTTTACTAGCATATGCTGACACGCTAACAGGATTGGAACAATATAGCGTTCGTGAATTCGCTCGTGCGTTTGAAGTTGTTGTCCGTGCTTTAGCCGAAAATGCCGGAGAAAAGGTGAGCTTCATCTACTCCGTAGTTAGGATTGTCGCTACCACTTTCCGTTGAGGTAATTAACTACCTTTTTTTCTTCACAAGGCGACTGAAATCATCGCGATGCTGTACGCCAAGCACCTGAGTGGTCAAGTGCATACTGGGCTGATTACAAAGCCAGGAGGAGAAGTTGAGGTGAACGATGCTGTAAAATTCGAGATATTGGATATTCATATGGTCAAACGGTGGGCCATTCGATTTGCTACTGATGCGGCTTGCACAGTGTTGCGTGTGGATCAGGTAATCAACGATTTCACTGATCTTTCTGTTATGTTTTTAGTTGAAAATTGTTGTTGACTTACCATTAAATAAAATTGACACGTTAATCTTCAAGCTCCTCTTTACCACGTTCCTTAGATTTAGTTGTCAGGTTAACTAATATTCGACATGTCACTTTTTCAGTGTTATTCGTTTGTGATAGGATGCACACACTCAATAATTTGGATAAATGTGATTCTGCCGTCGTTTCACGATGACGTTGACTAGTTGTAGTATATCCTAGCCATCATTTAGTCTACGTCCACAGTTTACACTGAAGTTATTGATGGAAAAGTTTTCCAGAATGAATTAACTAACTTTTCCCTTACAATAGCTCACATGAGTAATAATTCCATTGTTTAGACCATTAATACTGGCTTGTATCACTCAGTTAGATTCAAATGTTTTATTCAATCACTGTTACCCTATTTCAATTTCTCACCTATTCCGCGGAGTTCCACCCATTCTGTTTGTCATCGCACCGGAGTAAGCCTCAAAACATGTTCCTAAAGTACTGCCAGTAGTATCCGCTACACTATCGCTTTGTTCTCCTTTCAGATAATCATGGCTCGCCCGGCTGGCGGCCCGAAACCGCGTCAACCTGGAGCACCTGATGAGGATTAAAAAATGTCAAACTCAGCTGTGTTACTAAAATGTTTGGCTTTTAAAATACACACCCGTTTCGAGCACGTCTGCCTTCTTTCTGTTTCACTATTTAGTGTCTTGTATTGCTCGTAGTGGATCGTTTTTCACAACCCGATGCAACGATTTCCTTGCGTAGGGGTTTCATTAAATCATAGGAAAAGCAGTTTTTGTGTCTTCGTTGTACAACCGATGGATTTTGTGAGATTTTACTGCTCATTCAGCATTGGGTTCATAAGGTTTAAGTGTTGGAATNGTTGGAATTCGTTACAAACTGGTGTCTTCCGCTGAGTGATCACGGCAGGCAGATGGAGCTGTTTCCATCCTGAGATGAAGAGGAAACGGCAGTCACTACACACTTGAAACCGACAATAGTTAAAAAGGCTGTACCGACCCAGGGCTTGTAGCTTTTTGGAACGAACACTGGTGAACAAAACTTAATTTCAGTGATTCATCTTTGGCTAACATCAGGATTTATGGAGCTCGGATAACGAGAGAACTATAATAGCCCATACAAAAAAATTTTCAGGCTTGAGCATATATATAAAATACATACATACATATATATATATATACATATATATATAATGTCTGCCGCTTCTAGAATAATGCCTAGTCCGGATTTGACGAAAATTCGAATGGAAGAGTGAAAATGGATTAGGTGGAGGGCCGTGGATTGTGATGTATTAGCCAAAGGAGATCAATTAATGAAAACAAATGCTGTACGCTGCATTATTTGCCATTCGGAACGTTCCATTAAACTACGTAGACTCACTGGGCCTAGGGTATTTTCAGCTTTCTATCAGATGTACGTCCCGGTTTGCTTTCATTGATACGATCTTACACGTTTTTGGGGTCAAGTTGTTACCAACTAAATGCCGTGGTTATATTGTGCTTCGCTCTCTCATTTCAGTTCATTGATGTAGTTGTCGCAAAAGCTTCCACGTTCTGATTTCTGGTGAACTCGAAACCCACTTCAGTCTCAAACATCCGTATTTCGACGCGCGACTATTAATTTTCCTACTATTATCAAATGATTTGCGGGTATCTTATTCACAGAGAAGGTGGTGTGCATGATCTTAGTCCTTGGGACAACTCACTTCCTTTTAGCGCATGCTTAATGGCCTACGGGTTATGTGTAAAGAAGCTTGGTATGGAAGCTGTGTCTGTGCAGGTGGTTTTGCACATCAGGATATATACCTGATGGACTGTATTCAACTATTTTATTGAAGCGCATAGTGGGGATTCTTTGGTGACATGGCTTTGTATCACTTTGAGTAGTGTCCAGTTACGCTGTTCTTCCACGTTGTGGTTGTGACTTTATGATGTGTCAGTCTGTGGATGACTCTTTGTGTTTGTGCAGTTTGCTCAATACCAGTTTATTTATGTATTCGCTAAACCCCAAAGTTCAGAAAAGTCCTAGGTCATTTACCATTTTTGTTTAGAATATTGAGTGTGCCTTCATTTCTTTAATCGTTTGGATTGTATTTTCTCCAAGTGTTTATCAAACAGTTTCTAAACACGTGACCTTCAAGGTATTATTATCTCAGAAGTACAATGGATAAAAAGAGTAGAATGTTTCATTCAGTAAGCGTCGGTCGTTTCTTTTCCAATAAACTGCTTTGTGTTCCTTAAAAATATGTCCATGGTAATCCGTTTCCCGCCACATAAAGTTCTGGGGTACATACTTAGTTTGCGTATTCCTTTTCGATATCCATGGTTTGTTTTGTGGTTACTTTTGTGATTATGTAAAGGTCACTTCAGATTCCCCACGAGGTTAACTCGACATCTTACCCCCATTGATTCATCCAAAACGCGCTCAGTTTCGGTTCGTTTTCAGCCCTACGAGTCCATTTGTTCAATCCGATGCAGAACAAGAACACCAGTAGCCACCAGCCGAATGATCGGTTCCAGTTTACAAACCACACAGATACCTTGGAGATGGATGACGATGAAAATGAGGATCTTATCGAAGATGCAGATGATCCTCTAGATCCTAGCTTTCTCCATATGATCGATGAGGCTGACGATTTTAACCCGAACGGTCCTGATTTGTATGCGATATTGGGCGTGGAGCGAACAGCAACAGCCGCAGAATTACGAGCAGCCTATCGTCGCCTTTCACTTCTCCTGCATCCTGATCGGCATTCCAGACTAAGCTCATCAGTTGAAGGGGAACACATCGATACACAATTGCAACCCGTCTCCGGGGATGCTGATTCTGCCTTCAACCGAATCTCCACGGCCTATGCCATTTTGAGCGACCCAAACAGGCGAAAAATATATGACACGTATGGTCATGAGGGTAAGTACGTTTGTATTTGAGCTAAAATTGAGTTGACCATTATTGATATATTCAATAAAAAGAAAGGAAGCAAAAACCTTTTTTAGGCTGGAATCTCATGCGGTTAATCGGCCTAGGTTTTACAATTTGCTACTGGTATTCCCTTACACTCCGAAAGCCTTAGTATGGTCGGGTCGGGTGTCTCCGATTGTGACTGGTCACCCTTATGCCTAAAGAAGTGCTTCTATATGACCAAGCTTCTCAAACAACCTCTGCCGAGGAAGCCCTACCCATTGCCTTCCCGTGTTGATGTTTACCCATCAAAGTGAGCGGACGAAAAGCCGATATTCAGGACTGGTGGACCGCTGAAAGTTCACCTGGGGTAGATGGCTAAAAAGCTTCTAATTCCAAACCAACCAAGGCGGGGCGTATGAAACACCGATATCTTCCTGGTTGTGGCAGTGGTAAACGCCAGCTCATCAAGAGTTTGAGGAATGACCGCGAGAAGTGGTGGGTAGAAAAGTGTAAAGAGATGGAGAAAGCTGCGACTATTGGTAATAGTCACAATCTTTTCCGTCTAATTAGGAATACGGGTCCTAGAAAAATAGGCGTAAGCGAGGTAATTAAGGAATCCAATGGCACACTGATTCACGATCAGCAACGCCGTTTTGACCGATGAGCTGAACACTTCAAGGCTCAGTTCAACTGGCCCCCATCGACACCTTATCTTTCACTCTCCGCCTCGACTGGACAAATACTCCCAGTTGATGCTAGTCCTCCATCTGAAATGGAGGTTTCCCGGGAAATAAGTTACCTCAAAAGGCATAATGCCTCCGGCCCAGACGGGCTCTCTCCATCCGTTTTTAAGGATGGAGGTTTAGCATTGATTTCGAAGTTAACGAAATTCCTGGTCTCAGTATGGGAGAGGGAACAGGTTCCGGCTGAATGATGTGAATCGGTCATCATACCGATTTACAAGAAAGGTGATAGATCCTCTTGT